AGGCCCCGGCTAGGCCCGGCCGGCCCCGGCTGGCCCCGCGCGCTCGCCGCGCGAAGGAGAGAAGGGATAGAGCAAGGCAAGAAAGGAGACACTGTTCATTAATGATCGTTGGCATATGGCTGTGAGTGAGCAAAATGAGTACTTGGGGTAAGTAAAATAAGCTCCTAAATGAATTTTAGAGCCAAAGGTGGTTTCAGAGGGCTGCCACGCTGTGATGGAGCATCAGCAGAGGGTGAGTAGGGAACGCTGTAATGAGAAATACTCATCAGAGCCGGTCCTCGGACCTGTTACTCATGGGGCTGCAGCTGCCTCAGTGTGTTGGACTTTACTCCCTGCAAAGTGAGCCCTCTGCATCGCCCTGAAGCCTGCTGAGAGGAAGCTCTGGCATCTATGGATAGTATTTAGAGGGATGCTGCAGGGAAAAAATGAGAAAAGACTCAAGACCACGATGCAAGATTACTGCATTTACTATTAAGATGTGAGGAAGAGCTGAAAATACAAAAATTAAGGGATCCAGTTGTAACTGTAATTGCTTAGAGTATTTTGTTCTGAATTTCTTTTTATGCTTTTCTTTCATATTATATTTTTGAAATTTGTGAAAAAATAATCAGTTTTTCATAATAAAAGACTGACTTTGATTAAAAACTTGGTGCTGTTAATTTAGGCTTTTGAAATTGGATTTTCAATTGGATATTGAAATTTTCAGTTTCTCATAACTGACCTTTTTCCCTACATACAAAATTACTGTTGATGAATCAGCACATTTTTTTATATAAATGTTTCTCTAAAAACACTTGGCAGGCAATATAGGTATAGAGAGCATGTGTGCAGAGATAGAAATTTATTTCTGGACCTGGTGTGTGTGCTGTGGGAGTTGGGATTTTCTTCAGTTTTCCATGAGTGAAAATTATTTTGCAAATCTTTTCTGTAGATACTTCTTTTGGCTTCTTTAGTGTGTTGTGTTGTATTTTGTTTTTTTGCCATGTCAACAAAAACCGAAATGAGCGCTTTGAAGTGAGACTTTTGTGTGTGCAGGTTGGGATGCTGGGTGCTGTGCCCCTGGCTTAACGCTGGCAGAGAAGGTGCTCAGTGCATGTTCCCAGCTGCTGTGGAATTACACAGTGCCTTGGTGGAACGCTGGCTGGAGAGCAGAGCCAGAGGAGAGAGAGGTGCTGGTGCTCCCTCAAGGGGAGTCTAAGGGGGATTCTGGCCCTTGCTGGTTTTCCTCCTTTTCCTTGCTGGGATCTGCAGTAAACACTTGCACAATCATGCTGTATGGTTATTGGCAGAAGTTGGCTTTCATTTAGCAAGGAGTGCCCTATCACTTAATCTGGGGTTCTCACAAATGATGTGTGATCAGCTAACAGTGTTTAAACTACTTTCCTCTGCCATCAGACGTGTACTTCAGGGAATTTTCACTGAAACTATTGGAGCTCTTTTCAAGGTTTGGAGAATACAGTAGAATATCCAATGCTGACAGCAATTAATGGCTTTTGTGAGATGCCACAACACTTAAAAAATCATCTCCTGCTTTAAATTCAGGGGACTGTGGGTCTATTTGGGCCACTGTTGTTAGTGAGCACTTCTGTGATAGTGACCTGTGTGTGACCAAGGCAACACTGAGCCAGGAATGTAAATCTGGCTTGTGGTTTAGGGATTGGAGAGTCAGAGGGGTGTCCAGAACATCAGGTTACACTGTGAGGATTCATTTTCTACCCTGGCAGAGGCTGTGCACCATACCCTGTAGACCTTCAAAGTTCATACTCAAACTACATGGTGGTAAGAAGGGTTCTTTTGCAAAGTCCCTCCTACTGACAAATGCCCTTTGCACAGTCACACAGCTTCAAGAAAATCCAGCAACTTATTTAGCAATTGATGACCCATTTGTCCTTCCTTTTTGCACCTTCCTTCATCACAGGAAAACATCCCAATGTTTACTCTGGGGTTTCAGTGTAAATGCTGGCAGTATGGGCACCCTTTGTAAGGCTGTGGCAGTCCAATATTTGTGTTTTAATGTAAATTTAAATATATCTGGACTATTTCACAGGCACCAGCATTGTCTATGGAGCTCTAAGTTGTTGCACATCTGTGAAAACAAAATAAGGTACTGGGTAATACCTTACCAGGGATGTTGCCAGGACATTGAGTCAAATTCAATTCACATATGTTAAAAGTTTGAGTGTATTGTTTCAAATTAATGAGTATAGCTTTGACTCAAGACAAAAACAAGAGCTGAAACCAGGTAAATATGGCTTTGAACCACACAAGAATTTGCCTTGTGATTTTTTTTTTTTTTTGATCTTCAGGTTCAACTGAATAACATAATCAAAATACTTCATAAGAATGGTAAGCTTTAAAGTATTTTATTCCAGTAGTGTGGCTTGGTCATTTTGTGGCAGCCTGTAATCAGAAAGTAGTAAAAATAATTTAGGAATAAAAATGGGTTTAGAATAAAAATTATTTCGAAACCAACCCCTTGAGAAATTCTTGTGATTTTATCTTGTAAAAACTAATTGGACTCCTTTGGAAAGCTTTGTCACAGAAATGTATTTTGTAGGTAATCAAGTTTTAGAGAGAAGTAAGAATTTTCTATATGAAATGTAACCCTTCTATATATCTTCATATTTTTATAATCATTAAAAACAGCTATAATTGTTTTTTTTTCTGGAAGATTCTTCCCCATTTCAGCCTCCATTTTCTATCTACATGAAAGAAAAAAAAAATTGGCCAAGTGTTTCAAGGACTTGTTAAGCCTTGAAGCCTTCTGAAATCTACACATGCAAGACAAAGGAAGTAAGCCTGAAGCATCCCACAACGATCCTCTGCCTCAGCTGGGAACAGAGATGCTCACAGTCTTGTCCTGCTGTAAGCTGTGAGCTGTTTCCTGTGCTGCAAAACATATAAGAACATATAAGAATAACCTGTTGTTAACAGAATAAGTCCTGAGATTCATTCTTGTCTTAGCTACAGTTGATTTTCCCATCATGGAGCAGATTCTTCTCACATAGATGGCCATGGTCCTCTTTTATCAGCTGGAGATCAGACCATAGAAATTTCAGAAAATCTGGGTGGAAGTGGAATCAAATCTATTGCTTTATTGTTTTGGGTTTAGTGTATTTTGTGGAGGTTTTATACGTCTGAGCTATATTTAGCAACCAAAGTGAGAGTCTTTTTCCTCAGGGAATGAAATATTTGTTAACAGATCACAAGAAAATGCTTCAGCACAGCCTCTGAGACTCTAAAAGACTGCTTGATAACTTCTGATGCCTAACACTTTCTTATTCTTAATAGGCAGATTTTTAGCTTTGCAATAGGCACAAGACTTTGAAATTAATAGAAATTCCACTAAGTAAAAATTGACTTTTGGGCAGCTCTTGAGGGGAGGGAGGGGGATTCTAATGTGCCTACAGTCCAGTGCCCACTTTTGCCTGGGAATTAGCCAGGAATCATAACAGAAAAGAAAGCCAAGTAATTTATGCAATGCCTCTCCGTCACTGTGCCAGAGGTATTTCTGATGTGAACTAGAACCCTGGAGCACCGCCTTTGTGTATGAGGTGGATGTGCCCTAAATTCACAGTGTCTTCTCCCCGAGTGGCCAGAGGCAAATCCTGCCCTCCAGTACTGCACAGGTGACGAAGATTTGGCTCCATCGGCTAAATGACAGCAAAACCTTGGTTCACTTCCAAAGGCTTTTAGTGGTGATGCAGAATCTTTTACAAGACTGACTAGGAATCTTGGCTTCTCCAATGTGGTGTCCCTGAAAAAGTGCCTAAAAAACCGCATAGACCCCATTGAAGATGGAGTTTAATCCTTTCTGCTCCCAAGTGATTACTTCTTGCTAGAGGAAAATTGGCTGAAATATTCTAATAGTTTCCTGAAATCAGTATGAATTTGGCTTGAACTGGTAAACTGCAGAGCTATAATATCTAAGAACTGTGATGGAACAATAGCTATTCCAGTATTCCCAAGGAGCATGGGTAAAAAAATGAACATGTTCAGGGCTCTGCTTTGTTCATATGGGAGTAGTAATGGATGTGCATTGTGAAATTTAAGATCAGAACTTGTTGCCCTTACTCTTGCTGTGGTAATCAAAATTATTATATTTTCCCAGTATCATCATACTGATCATCCAAAATGCAAAGGCAGAACATGATGCAGTTCAGTGACTCACACCAAAGAAAACAATGCTTAATTATCTTTAATAAAAGCTGCATTTTTCAAGAAACTTAAGTCCCAGAACAGCCACGTTGAGGCAATCTGGTATTTATCAGTGAACACAGCCCCTTCATGGGACGTGTAAGTGCTTGCTACAACATATGGGGAAGAACTGATGGATCTGTGAGTGTCCACAGCAGTGTGGGGGTTTGTCTCTGGAGGGTGCCCAGCCCTGGCCCACCCCAGTGCTGTAGGTCCCTAGCTTATTGTTTTTCTTTGCCCATATTTCATTATGTATGTCAGTGAGAGGACAGGAACGAGCCGTTAGAAACCCTCACTCACCCCAAAAAGCTGCAACCACTCAAAGACCAAATTTATGCTAATTATTTGATAAGCAATTGGATGGCAGAGGTACATTTCAGGAAAAAAATTGCATATCCAGAACCAGCAGGGCTGTAACGAGCTGAATTCTGCTGGTTGTGTCTGTGACGTGCAAGCACCTCTGTGAAAGGCTGACTGTTACTGTAGCCAGTTCTGTGGCTGCTCAGACCACGCTCAGAACCTGCTGCTCAGTTGCATCTTTGATTGTTTTGGTAGCTGCAATACTTTACCTCTTTCTGCTACAGATGAAGCTGATTGTCTCCTTCTCACAATACAAAGCCAGCCCTCTTGCTCCTGGAACTGCCTTTTGCCCCTCCGTGTGTGACACCATCATGATGGTCTGTAATGAGCTGCCTGAGTGAAAAATATAGTAAAAACATGTTTTTTTCCAAATAACAGAGAAGAAACTTGAATCACAGAATTGTAGAATTGTTAAGGCTGGAAAAAACCTCTAAAATCATCAAGTCCAACCATCAACCCAGCATCAACGTCCTGTTCACCACCAAACCATGTCCTTGAGTAATACAGCCACATGCTTTTTGAGCACTTACAGGAATGGTGATTCCACCACTGCCCTGGACAGCTGTGCCAGGGCTTTACAACCTTCCATTAAGATTTTTTTCCTAATATCTTATCTAAACCTCATGTGGTGCAACTTGAGGTCATCTCCTCTCATCCTGTCAGTGGTTCTTGCAAGTTAGGTTCACTGGGAATAATATGGTCCCAATCTTCAAGCAGTAGGTGGTCCTTGCCCCTGAGCACTTTTGAGCTCCACTCAAGGCTTCCGGGCTGATGTTGTTTGTGATAAAAGCACAGTAAAGTGCTGAAGTGACACTTGTGGTGCTGCCCCTGAAGGACCCTGGGGTGGATTTTGGTGCCGAGTTGTTTTGGCAGTGGCACATAACCTTGCTAACCCAGAGGGTGGCCAGGTGATGGGATGAGAGCAGACAGCTTGAAGCAAGGGAGGGAAGAGCAAAACCACATTGTTTCCCAAACCACTAAAATGATTCTCCTTGCTTTGGCACTGATTGCTCAGCTTCTCTCTTTGCTTCCATGTGACTTCAGTATGTGTTTAAGCACATGTTTGATTCCTGTCCTGGATTTGGAACCACTGAAAACAGATAAAGTGTCTTGTATAAGGGTATGCAAGCTAAAAGGATGGTTGGCACAGCAACAGCTGAAAAATTTCCCCTGTGCAAGAAGCTAGAGTACCCTGAGCAGAGGAATGCTTGTCCCACCTTGCCTATCTGTCTGATGACTGCTGGGAAGCCCAGCCAGCATCTGGATCCTCTCGGCCACTCAAAGGTGGTCAGCCCTTACTCAAAGCTGGGTAACTGGGTACAGACATCTTATTTTTTGGTCACTTTGCTCATCACTACGTTGTACTTATGAAATCTCCAAGTGGACCAATATTAGCCTTCACTCAGGAATTTTTTGTGTAATTGTTCCTGCCTCTTAAGTCGTGTTTGATCATGCTTTTTTCTCCAGCCACAGACACATCCAGTGCAGCCTACACAGGTTGTCAAGACCTCTGCAAACTGACACGTTTGCATGACTTTTGAACATATTGTCATGGGTACTTTGGTCTTGGCCCAACAACATGCGTAGAATCATTGAATATCCTGAGTTGAAACAGACCCATGAGAACCCTTGAGTCCAACTGTTGATTCCACACAGAGCAACTGGAAAGTTAAACTGTATGTCTGAGAGCTTTGTCCAAAGAGTTCTAAAGTACTGGCAGGTTTCCTGCTAACTAATGAAGTTGTTATTTTTTGTTACTATAAGTACAAGTATGCAGTGTTCTGCGCTGGTACATAGGCAACTATGTTATAGGTAAGATTCTACTATTCAGGATTATATAACCTAATTCCTGAGTTCGAGAACCATTAGAAATAATTAGTAGTGATGAAGATGACTCTTTTGTTCAGCTGTTAACTTTTAACACTGAAGAGCAAATAGAGTCTTGACAGTCAAAATGCTGAGTAAGTTGAATTTTACAAGAGATGCCATGATGAGCAATGCTACTGTGACCTTGCTATTTATTGGGCTGGATTTGTAATACCACAGTGTTTTGAAAAAAATCATTTCCATATGAGCACTGGCGTGAGATTTTCCTTTCTGAACATACCTTCCTCAGCTTGTCATGGTTTTCACTGCCATGGAGCTGTGAGCAGGAACCTATCTGTTTTCAATTGGTTGCCAGAACATTCACATACTTAGACTGTGCAGTTAAAACTGATTTATATAGTGGATATGAAGTTGCAGTTACAAACTTTTATTGAATAATCATCATTGGTAAAGAAAAAGCTGAGATATGCTGCAGAGAGATGAAATACCTCTGAACCCATGGGCTTTCATCTGAGTGGTGAAGTACAGAGCCATCTGCTATCATCCCAAGGGTTGAGAAGGGCCTGGAATGTTCCATCATCAGTCTGCTAGGAGATCTCAATTTGATACTGAGTACTATGGTGTATGTGGTAATGGATGTTGGAAGGAAAATCCCAAATAAGGTCAAACCTCCCTTTGCTTTTCTTGCCATAGTCCTGCCTCAGAGGGAGTTCTGCTGACACTAACCATGATACCACGCTGGGCATGAGGGCAGTCCATGCTGAACAATGTGTGGTTGCAGCCAGGTGACTTTAAGCACCCAAAGCCTCTGCTGTTCTGTTGGTTCTTGCTGGATGGCACATGCCTTTGGGCATGGATTGGGCGCAGAGAGCGCACTTGTGCTTGGCAAAGAATCCAAAGACTCTGGACATGAAAATTCAGTCCCCTGCTGTGGCATGACATCTGTGTGCCCTTAGGTAAATTGCTCAGTCCCTTGGTATGCCTCCATTCATTTTCTGCAGAGTGGCTCACAACTGCATTTCTTAGGGGTTTTATAAAGGAAAATATACCCGAGATGGAGGTGCAGTTTCTACCTGAGCCTTGCAACCACACCAGTCCTCCCTGGGGTCCTTGAGCGTTTTGCTTCTGCCAGTCGTGGTGGGAATCCATGGTCCCCCAGAGCAGAGGAAAGGTTTAGATTAACACTGTGTATTCCTTATACTCACATTCACCTGTCAGCCTTGCTCAGTCTTCCAGCATGATTAAGTCATCCAGGAATGAGTTGAAAGGGTTGGCTTTGTAATTAAAATGGGAACACATGGCTTAGTTTCCTTTTACCTGTTGCAGAATGTGGAGCATGGGGCACGTAAGACATGAAGCCAGGTTCCAAGAGGAACTGAGTAATCATCTTGGCAATACTGCTTGGGGCTCACTGGCTGCTTTTGATGCAGCTATAGGGTTACCAGAGGATTGCTCACGTCCCTGTGACTGTTGGAATACTGGGATTTTGATGACATTTCCTTTCACTGTCTGTATCTCTTCTATTCATTTGTAACAGGTCATAAGTTTTTAATTAGGTTAAAGGAGTCCTAGTCATGTTGTTCCCTCAGATTCTTTCTCAGGGAATCAAAACTGAAAAGAGCAGAGTCTTGACAGAATTTTGGCTCTTGTCTTTGGCTGGTATTGAGTCAAAATGTGGTGTGAAAAGTGTAAGCTTACACAGTTTCCATCTGCAGTGAGTAATAAAGGATTGCAGTATTTGGTTTGAGTATCAGTTGCCTTTGCAGCTCAAACCCAGCATTTGTGTGTCTGTCTGGGGGCTTCTCTGGGCTGGGTTCTGCACACAGACGCACAGGTCTGTGTGCAGGGGCACCCACGGGGCTCCATCACACCGCTGCCACCAGGGACACACACCACAGGCTGAGCCACCCTCAAACAAGACCGAAACTCAGCCTGCCTCAAAGACCCCCTTGACAAGTTTCAGTGGCTGATGTTTGCAGAGCAGCTGCCTGAGGCTCTGCTCTAGATGCACCTTCACAGACCACTGGGCAGTGCAAGAGAAAGGTGTGAGACAAAGGTGTTTGTTACTGTGAGTTATCAGCAGGTACTTGTTACTGTCAGACAAAAGATCTATAAGGTTTGGAAAAGAAATATTTGTTTGTGAAATTTCCTCTGTTGGTTCTGCCCTTAATCCTTTTTCTGACCTAGGTCCAGGGCTGGTAGCAGCTGGTGCCAGGAGGTCCTAGGTCCCCAGGCCTCCTCACCAGCTGTGCTGCAGGGGTGGGTTCTCTGGTTGTCTTGCAGCTGGAGAAGGATGTTAAACTCCCTGGGATACCCTGGGCCCGAGCTGGGTGACACCACTGTCACCTTGTCTGTGGCTGACACTGAGGTAGTAGGAACAAGGGCTTGTGCTCTGAAACAAATAGAACAGAAATTATTTGTCTGAGCACTTTTCACCCAGCTCTAATTTTAATATTTTAAGCTTGTATTAAAATACAAACTGATGAACAGTCTTCTGGAGTGCCTCATCCATAGCTGTGAAGAAGATCCACATCTTTTCCACAGAGAGGTAGTGTTGTTGTGCCTGTCATTTTAGATTTGAATTCCGGTCTTTTAAAATGCCGTATGATTTGTGTGCTACTTTAATTTTCTATTCTCTGCATACATAATAGTAATGATAATTCCAAATAATTATTATGATAGTAGTATGAAGAACTGATGGGTACTATCAGCTGTAGGAAGAATCAGAGGCATGTCTGATATGAACCTCACTGAAAATAACATGATTTTATGTGATAACCAAATAAAACTGGGGACTTGGGATTCAGCTACATAAGCAGGAACCTGTGTTCAATTTCTTGTGATTTTTAATTTTCATTAAAAATGAAATATTTTTGGACATTGTCTCATTTTACATTTTATATTTGCTTTGTAAAATAAATGTATTTACATGAAAAATAATTTCATAATTTTATTTTCACCCTTGATACTTGTTTTTTACTATTGAACTCTGCAGGAGATCAGTTTTTCACTTGGGTGTTCCTCCAGGCCCAGACTGTGCTGCCAGTGAAGGGAAGAGTCCCAGGAGGTGTCTGAATCAGACTGGGGACTGCTCAGTGTCTATTTTACATTCACTTCAAACCTCAAGGGCAGTGGAGTTTTTTTGTTTTGTTACTGTTTTCTCCCCATGAGGGCTGAGCATCAGTTCACTGTGGCAGGTGTCCTGCCTATCCCTGTGTCTCGTGCTGCTGCTCCAAGCACAGGAGAAATGGTGTGGGGTTGGGAGTGATGCTTCCAGCCCTGGGGAGCTCCCAGCCTCTCCCTCACCCTTTTTTTTTTTTTTTAATGTGGAATAGTTACTCTTCCCAGGATCACAGCACTGTGCCACTGATTTCCTTGACATAATTTCTACCCAAGGTTAATGATATTGCATCTTTTTTGTTGAAAACTACTAAAAGCATTCCCAGAGTGCACAGGGACTTGAATATCTGAATTACAATGTCAGGAGCCTTGGCTGTTTCACTTCTGTGGCGTGAACTGCTGTTACCAGAACCCAAATTACTCCTTTGCCTCTGCTTCTGCTCAGATCTCTCTTGTGCTGCCTTCCTTGAAAACCAATTTGCTTGTCCTTTCCATGTTTCCTTAGAGATGTTTCTGAAGCTACAAAAACTGTGACAAAATCAAGAGATGCTCACACAACTGCTTCAGTTATTAATTAAAGTCCAGTAAGTCAACTGAAGATAGTGAAGACAGAGAATTGCAGTCATCAGGCTGGTTTTCTTTCTTTCCAACCATTAGTTTCTGTCAATACTTGGCACTGAGACCCCTTTACTATGCAGTGGTAGAGCTGCCTGGCATGATTTGGGCACAGCCAGGCTGTTTGCTCCTCTTTAGCTCAGTTTTGGACACAGGTTTCATATCTCCATGTGCCACTTTGATTGATTTAGCTTTACTCTCTGCCTCTTGATTTTTAAAAAAGTTTTCACCTTATCACTTCTGACCACAGAAAACACATGTTAGAAATTGTGCATGACTGAAAGCTCAAGCTCAGTCCAAAGATATTTTCTTGGAAAGGGGCTGAGGAAGCAGTGTTTGCCATGTGCTCTGATCAACCAATGTGGATCCTCATCAGTCAGTGGTAGATGATAACTCCAGAACCAGGGGGCTGAAACCTTCATCTTCTTTCCCAGAATACTTAAATTCAATGGCAGTGGACAACTGGATAGTGTGGAATTCCCAGGATCTCTCAATGCCTGTGCTATAAAAGCCCCTAATTAGATTAAAATGGCAGGAGGGATGAAGGAAGATGTGCAGGGAATCAGGCTGCATGAGTCTGCTATTGACAGACTTACTTGAAAGGGCTGTGCTGTTTGCCTTCAGTGAATTATAACCTCAGCTGAGGGATTTATAGAGATATATACAAACATGTCTGGCACTTTAGGCTGTTTGAAATTTCTATCCTGAATTTTTAATTAATTCCAGTTCTAAAATAGTGCGAGCCATTTCTCTACCCCTCTGAATAGTCTTGATATGAAGTAGTAGTACATCCTATCCCTAAACAACTCTGAATGAATACTGTTTTCTATTTGATTTTGCAGATGTTGGAGAGCTCCACAATGATAACCCTTGCAGACCCTTGAAAATTGACCAAAGTGGGAAAAGATTGGTGTCTGCTTATGTTTTAACTTCCTGTGGACCAGTCAGCTTTTTGGGATCAGTAACCGCTGTTCATCTGATATTCTGAACTGTCTTGTTGAGTCACTTTTCCTCTCTGATTTTGCGTTGCTAGTTCTTTTATTAAGCTCATGTTAACTCCAGTTGGCATTGCTTGCCACTACTTGTCATGTCAGAAGTTTATTTATCTCCCCACAGAAGTATGTTGTGACAGATTGATCATCAAAGAGCTCATTGTTTTCACCTGTTCTTGTCTTGACACTTCTCTGGCTGTTTGGGAACCTGTTTTCCGCCTGAGATTGTGGATGCTACCAGAAGAGTTGGGGTATTTGAAGTGGAGTGCCAACAGTCTCAAGGTTGCCAGCTCTGGGCAGTGCCAAAGTCAAGCTTTCAGATAAATGGGAAATGTGCTCAGTTACACACATTAATATTAGCTGTATACACACATATTTATTAGCTGTTTTCAGATATTATTTATCAAAACTAGCAGTGATCAATACATTCAGTGGTACAAAATATAGGCCTAAACTCTATTCGTGTTTAAGACTGGATGAAAACGGCTCAAGGACAAACCAAGAGAGGACCACTAGCCTGACCATCTGGTGGGCTGGAGGTGATGCTCTGGTTCATGTTGCAGGCACAACTTTAAATCCTACAGTTTCACTCAACTTGTTTAAACCATGGAAAACTGATAAAAACTAGATAACATATAATACCTTTCATAGAGAGGTTTTGGAGTGACACTTTTTTTCTTCCCTCCTCTGGGCTGGATTGATGCAAATAGAATCCTCTCTGATGGGCACCTTCCTGGGCATCTCCTTTGGGAGCAGAAAGCTGTCTAGGGATCTGTTCTGTGTTCCACACTGCTCCCTTATGCTGCCTTATGCAGAATATGAATGTTTTCTTGCAGCCAGACCCATGAAACAAAGATGGGAGGTTTTCCCTGAGGTCAGAGGTCCTGCCTTGTCCTTACCTGGGGTCGTGTCCAGTGCAGCATGTCAGCAGTGTGCTGTGTTATGAAGTTTGTTCTCTGTGCCAGCTACCTAATTTTGTGATGTGAGTCATCCCACCAGAAGCCGACCCCAAATGACCAAGAGTTCATTGCATTCTGTCAGGAATAAAGTTTGGGCAGGATACAGGATTTTTTTGGCTTCAGCAGATGAGGTGAGCCCCTGGTGAAAAGAATTTGAAATTTCAAGTGGAAATACGTGGAAGGAGGGAAGAATGTACAAATAATGCCAAGAAACAGACCAACTTCTCTGGCACAAAATATGAAGAAGACTTTCCAGCTGGTGGTGGGGGACCCAAAACAAATGTGGTGATCAGAAATGAAGACACTGAGTTATCTTTTTATTCCTGTTAGTATAAGTAATTTTCAAGTAAGATGATAATATAAAATATGTTGTGAAATCCCTTTTGGGTGACAAGAGCAAGAACAAAAAGCAGATTCTGTGTTTGTTGGAGACATACATCCATGTTTCACTGGTGAAAACAAACAGAGCAGGCAGTGCATTGAAGTGGGGCTGTAGTTGTGTACAATGAGCTCATCTGGGTCCAGGTGCAGCCATCAAGGAGACATTAGATACTGTGAAGTTCTTGAACTTCAGATGCTGGTATTTCTAGAAAGTGAGTTATGTAATGGAAGTGTAAGTACCAGGAAAGAAAGGGAGCTGCTTTTCATAGCTTGGGAAGTCATGTGCATTCTCAATATAAATACAATTAACCATTTCATACCTTTGCAGACCAGGAAAAGGTTTGATGATGTAGAAACTGTGACATTCGCCCTCTTTACTCTGTTGAAACTTGAAATGGTGACAGCATTGCCTATAGTTTTGCCAAAAACTAGACGTGAACTGTCTTCTGCCTGCAAAACAGCCCTCACACCTCCTGCCCCAAACTGGGGGCTGTTCCCAGCTGCTCTTTGCAGACTCAGCTTGGTGATTTCCCTGCCTTCACACCCCTGGGCTCTTTCCTAGAACCAGCCTAGAAGGGTGTCCAGCCCATGACATGTCAGAGGGGAGCTGTGGCTGCCATCCTGCCCAGGATGGAGGGGTCCTGGCCAGGACCCAGGGGGCTGTGCCTGGGCAGGACTGGCCACTGCAGGGGCTGGGAGCAGCAGATTCCCACCAGCTGTTGGGTGTCTGTGTGTGCACCCAGTGTAAGAAAAGCTGATGGTTTTGTGTTCATGGATGTGTTGAGAACTGGACTTGGGTGAGGAAATTGCTTTAGGCTAAGCAAAACATTAAATTAATATTAGTAAGGAAGACAGGCCTCTGAATGCATTCCAAATTTTTTTTTTTTCTACATCGGAGAGCAGGAATTTGTGGTTTTTTCACTCTTTTCCTCCTTTTAAAAAAGATTTTTAAGCAATCTTTCAAGTTGGTAAAGAAAAAAGACAGTGAATGGTCCCCTTTGTAATTTTTTTTAAGTGGGGGGGCATCAATGTAGTTTAACACATTAGGGAGGGAATTAAATAAGAGTTGGTTAGCAAAACTTTAGGCCAAGCTCTACTGTCTGCAGATGTTTATACCACGTATAAACATCTGCAGTGGTTAGATACCAAATATCTTCATTTTCTAAAGGCTGTTTTACACTTGTTTCTCAGTTTCTAGTACTAGAGACAACTCCTCACGGATATTTTCTAAAATACTTGCATTTTGGCCTTCACTGGCATATTTAGATCCTGAAATGTATTGATCGTACCTTTGTGCAGGACTAGAAGTAAATTACCCTGGGTCAAGTTCTGTTTATACAGTGGACTGCTCTTGCAGAATTACCTCCTTGACTTAATAACTTCCTTTTGGATGACATTTCTGCCAGAAAGAAGACAAATTGGCTAAGGTCAGCGTGCAGATCAGCTCAGCATGTCGGAGGAAATTGCAGCAGATCATCTAAATTGTGATGGGTGTGCTGGGCAGCGTGGCTTGGCCGTGCCGGCACCGAGGGGCACGGCCCCCACAGCCAGCGGCTCTCCAGCAGGGTCGTGCTGCAGCATGGCCAATTCCAGCCATTCTGGAGTCGAAGGAATTCAGCTGGAGCAGTGACTGTAATTCAGATCAGCACAGGGATCCCTTTGGATCTACACTGAGTGTGCGGCAGCCTTTCAGACTGCTTGTGTTAAACGCAGCGTTACCCGGCTGTACCCAAAGGGCTCATGGGTCTCTGCAGATGTCACACACTGAGATCCTCCTGCATGTTCCTCTCACTCATTCCTGCAACCTTCTTTGAAATTGTTGTCTTACACGTAGCTGGGAGCCGAAATCTTGCAGGTGAGCCTGTTCTCATCATCCACAACGGCAGGGGGGAGGATGCTGAATTTGCTTCCTGATGAGTGACATTGAGGCACAGGACTGAAGGATCGGATGCAGATCCCATGATCCCATTCCTGATGAGTACCTTGGTGCTGCTCTTTGTAGATCTGTATGTTATAATAGAACACATTATGTTAAATAGAACGCGTTATGTTATACGGAACATAACGTGTATTTGTTATATATTTAACATTATTTATTTTACTTATACGTGTGAAGCCAAACAAATTTGAGTTGTGGAGGAACAGTTCTGCTGAAGTCAGTGGCTTTATACTGTATGAAATTGGTGTAAGAGAGCAGTGGAAGCTGCAGGCACTAGTCAAAGTGGCACCAAAACCTTTGCAGAGCCCCTCGGCCCCCTGCCCATCTCACAACATGCCCTGTTTCCTGCAGCACTGTGGGCCACGCTTGCAGTGCTGTTACTGCACCTCAGCCCCCTCCAAAGTGCACCCCCATAGCCCATGCACAGAGTGGAAAAGCCAACAGCCAAACTGAAAAATGTTTAAAATTGTGGCATTATATTTTCCCTTTACAAATTCTTATAAGTCTTCTGTGTTCTACAACAGAAGAAATATAAAAGGCTCATTTTAATTAAGCTCTTTATCCTTTGAAGTTATTTTTGAATTTTTTTTTTTGCATTGGTGATGTAATTTATGTAAATAATCATCTATCTATGAAAGGAGTGTGTCTGTCAAAAGCTGAAATAAAAAACATCCGTCATTTTGAAGCGATTAACATTCTCCAGATGTTTAAATCATCAGATTTCAGGAGTTTTCCTTTGTTGTGATAATGATATAGTATCCAGAACAAGAATGTTTACTTTTTTGTAGGGGTCAAACATAGATTTTTCACAATCCTATTAAAGCAAGCAGTTTATTGTAATTGTATGTGCAGATGAAAGCATATGCAGTTATTATTATTTCCCTTAATTGTAAACTGCTGCTGGTAATTTTACTGTAAAGCTGAAACAAAAGGAACATACTTGAAAGGACCACCACTGCCCACTTATGTAATCAATTTATAGATGTCAAGTTTGTACCAAGATGGTTATCCCTCTCCCTCGAAGCCCCAGTGACAGGCTACCACCCTGCAGCGCAGTCTCTGCTTTGGGGGGGCTGCCAGGGAGGACAGGAGATGTAGCTGATAATGTTAAGTGACAGCTCTGAACCACTGCACTCCAAACATGCTCAGCTTCAGGCTGCAGGGAGGAAGTGAGACACACATTCCTTCCTGCTGCTGGACCTCGTGGCTGACCAAGAGAATTTTGCCTGTCCTGCGCCGGCCAGCCCACTCTGGTGACTGGAACCACAGCAACTAGATGTAAGGAAAAGGAGGGCTATAATCTTGGAGAAAGGATATGTGTGAAAAATAGACCTTTTGCTTTTGCTCCCATAGTCCTTGCACAGCAACACCCTTAAATTCATAAAGCTGGCCAACGCACAAGATGTGTGGATGTGACAAGTCACTCTACTGACAAACTTCTCAGAGCTGACAAAATACAACTGGAATGATCTCTGAGTGGACTGATGGGTAACAGCAACTGGCCAACCTTTTCCAGCATTTGTTTTTAACAGAACCTCTCCTGAAATACAAATTTAGGGAAAAAAAAAAAAAAAAGAAGAAGAAAAAAATCCCTGGAAAACTACTAGATAGTTTTTCCAGACAAATAACCACAACATCTACCCCAAGATTTCAACTGGCCTGAAACTTTAACTAAGCATTGTTCAAAATATAACTTTTTTTTTCAGTTGATGGAAGGTTCTTGTCAGATGAGCAGATACACCCTGGGGGAATGTTGCCAAGACAGGGACAAGATGGCCCTGTGACCGTTGCTGCTCTCTGTCCCCAGTTTCCCCTCAGGGGTGGTTTTGGCACCCATCCCCTCTCTGGCTCCAAATGGGCTGTTCTTAGAAAGAGACACAACCAGTTGGAGAAATTTCTTCTGTGTCCTACCTAAATGAATTGGTGATCATGAGATGTTAGTGATGCACGAGACCCTCCAAAATGATATTTTGAAAAACATGTCTGAGGAACAGGTGAGTTACAGACATGCACTAAATTCCTGATCTGCTGCATTTGCATTTTCTAGCACCAGGAAATATTAGTTCTGTTATTTTTCCACTGCCTGTTTTCTCACACAGTCAACAGCACTAACCTTTTAATGCAGCATCACATCACACTACATCACATCACATCAAATGATATATGTTACATCAATTTACAAGGCATTACATGGCATGACGTGGCCCCCGTGTTCCCATGGCCTATCACACCACTGTAGTTGGGGATTTGGTGCATTTCCATTCACCATGGTTGTAGGGATGTGCCAGTGGCCCATGGAAGTGTGTTTTACTGTGTTGGCTGACATAGGGTTCCTGCCTGCAAAAGGACTATGAGGCAAAACTCAGCTATTTAGCAGTAGCAATTAAAGGAATGAGGCTGATGCCTGTGGCTTCCTGCAGATGTGCTGTGTTCCTGAGCCCAAAGTGCTGGCTCTGTGTTCTGTGGCTGGACTGGAGCAGGGTGGCCCTAGTGTGGCTCTGCTGCCTTTTCTGCACAGGCTTCCCTGGCTGCCACCAGGTATGGGCTGGGGGCCAGGTGAACCCTGGGGTCTGCCAGGCACCAGCCCCCTCAGCTGTGCTTCACACCTCTAGAGATATCTTGGGATGAGCTCCAAAGTACAATATGCTAGTAAAACATAATTTCTGGAAATTAATGGTAGAAATACAAATTCTTGGCTAAACTCTGAGTTTCAGGAAAACCAAAGTCAGCTCCAGCACTCAAACACTCATCAGTGCTTCTGGCTTACTTTAGTCCTTGAGCAAATTACTTCAATCCTATTTTTCATGTAACTGCAGATCTGATATGTACATGGAGCCAGATGACAACCAGCCAGCTTCAGCTGCCTTCTTTCAACTTCCTACTTGGAATTAAAGTTTCACACAATATTTTCACAGACAGCCATTCGCCCCCCACCAAAAAAAAAAAGAAAAAAGAAAAAAAAAAGGAAAAAAAACCACCCCAAAAAAGCCATGAGGAAGGCAATGGGAGGATAAAAGAATAAAAGACAAGCACAAAATGTAGTTCACTTAAAATATC